CCTCATCTATCACGGCAATGGTCTCATACGCTGGCATATACTTTTATTCAATGATGATCGGGTGCACCTTCACTCCAAGCGGAATGTCCACCATGGAGGATAAAGTTGCCAATGCATCAGCAAATTGGTTGTCTCTCTGAGCAAATGCGTGAATGTCAATTTCTCAAACCTCGAAATTAACACATCTAGGGCCTGATGATAAACCTTCATTTTCTCTTCCTTAACCCGGCAATCTCCATTAGCTTGAGACACAACCAAATTCGAATCTCTGATAACATCCAATCTTATTGCCCCTAGTTCCAGGGTAGCTTCCAAACCAGCAACACATGCTTCGTATTCTAGTTCATTGTTGGATACTTTAAACCGGAGTTTGAAGGATAGAGGTATGTGTGAATCATCAGGTGCTATGAGCAACACACCGATCCCATAGCCATACTGATTAGACGCTCCGTCAAAGTACATTGTCCATGGTTCCTCTTCTATCTGCAAGATGTCTTCATCTGCGAATAAATATTCCACTGCTTCATCATCTCCTTCTACTGGGTGATCCACCAGAAATTCCACTACAGCTCCCCCTTTGACTGATTTGCGTGTAACATACTTGAGGTCAAACTCGGAGAGAAGAAGCAACCAACGAGCTAGCTTACCCGGAAATGCTGGTTTCTCAAAGAGATATTTGATGGGATCTATGCTTGAAACCAAAATTACAGAATGAGCTAACAGGTAGTGTCTCAACTTCCTCGTTGCCCAAACCAAAGCTAAGGAAGCTTTCTCGAGAGGAGTGTAGCACGTTTCATATTCTAGCATCTTCTTGCTTAGATAATAGATAGCCTTCTCCACCTCCTCTTTTGATTCTTGCGCTAGCATGTACCCCATGGTTGAATTTGTTATTGATAAATACAAGATCAGTGGTTGGTTCTGGTGGCGACAATACATGAGGATTCTGAAGGTATTGCTTAACCTGCTCGAAGGCGAATTGACACCGATCATCCCTTTGGAATTTCTTTCCTTTCTTCAGCAGACCAAATAGTGGTTCACAAGTCAAGGTTAATTTTGAGATAAACCGTCTTATGAATTGCACCTTACCCAGAAAGCCGCGCACCTCCTTTTCAGTCTTTGGTGGTGTCATTTCTACGATGGCCTTGATTTTGGAGGGATCTACTTCAATTCCCCTTTGTGTAATTAGAAATCCCAACATTTTTCCTGTAGTGACCCCGAAGGTGCTTTTCTGTGGGTTTAACTTCAGTTTATACTCCTTGATCTGCTCAAAGAATTTTTCCAGTGCGGTGTAGTGACCTTCTCGCTCTTTAGACTTGACGATCATATCGTCCACATACACTTCAACCTCCTTGTGGATCATGTCATGCAAAATGGTGGCTGCAGCCCGCTGATATGTAGCCCCAGCATTTTTCAGTCCAAAAGGCATAACTCTATAACAGTAGGTACCCCACAGCGTGGTGAAAGCAGTTTTCTCTCTATCCTCCAGTGCCATCGAAATCTGATTATACCCAGAAAATCCATCCATGAATGAAAGCAAAGCATGGCAAGTTGTGAAGTCTACCAGTTAATCTATGTGTGACAATGAAAAATCATCTTTCAGACTTGCTCTATTTAGATCCCGGAAGTCGACGCAGACCCTAATTCTGCCGTCTTTCTTTGGAACCGGAATGATATTAGCCAACCAAGTCGAGTATTCAGATACCATCAAGAAACCTGCACCAATCTATTTGCTGACCTCCTCTTTGATCTTTAATGCCCAATCTGGGCAAACTCTGTGCAGTTTCTGTTTGACTGGTCAGGCCTTGGGATTAAGAGGGATTCGGTTTTGTACAATCTCAGGATCTATTCCAGGCATGTCTTCGTAGGACCACGCGAAAACATCTTTAAAATCTTTTAATAAAGTGATTAAACGCTCGCGTTCCTCCGAAGACAACGTGGATCCGATCTGGACCAAATGGGGATCCTCCTCAGTACCCACATTTATTGCAGTGATTTCATCTGTGTAGGGCTTAATGCGCCTCTCCTCCTCTTGGTCAACCAAATTTTTCAAAGCCCGAGGAATTTCTTCCTCTTCGTTTAAGTCAACATTTTGAAAATCGAGATCAGTGCAACAAACTAAAGGCACAGAGAAGTAAGCAAACTCTACGACATTCCCATTAGTAAAGTCTGGGTCCTCGGTCACAGTTGACTAAAAAGAAAAACTAAAAGAAGACTTTGACAGGACTTTGGCATCCAGGTTACCACTCCCGGAAATACCAGACTCAGAAGAACTCGAATTTGACTCCGACTCAACAGACTCGATGGAATCAGATTCGGACTTATTATCCGATTCAGAACTGCTGATGATGCCTTTTTCAAATTTCCAAATTAGGTGTGGAGCCTCACATGCATCCACAATAAGTTTAGAGAAATCCGTTTCTGGTTTATCCCCGATCATTGAGATAGTAAAACTATCCCCCAAGTTGTCAAACTCAGTTCCGATAGTAGAATTTGCTAGTAGGTCAGTCAGTGTTTTTCCCAACAGCTCTTCTTCTTCAATGTTCATAGTTACAGTCCTGCCTTGACCTGTTTTAGTACTCAGGTCCAGCTGCTCATCTTCCTCTTCTGGTAACTGGTGCCTGAAGAAGATCTCGAACTCGGGATAGATTGTCTTCATCTCCAGGTCAAACCAAGGCTCTGGAAATCCAAAAAAGGGGGAAATCTTCCCCTTGGCGAACAAAGCGTCCGGTCAAGGTTTCCCGTATTGGTTTGTGAACTAACTCATATTGTTTTCCATCATTCTTTGCTTTAATTCTTCCTCTCAACTCAGCCGACTTCCTTCGCCAATCCTCAGCAGTAGGTTTGTATCCCAGCCCAAAAGTGTGGGGGTTGTGAATCAGCTCCTTGGCAATAGCGCCTCCTTGCCTGCCACTCTTGCCTAGTCCTGATCTAGGCATATGCCCCTGTTTGTTCATCATGTAGACGGACTGAGCACTCACATAGGTTCCATCAGCTTCTGCCATGATAGATTGGACTACCCGAGCTTCTGTTAGTGAGAAGCCAGAGAGGAATACATCTTCTTCCCCGTATATGATTTCCAACACTGGTGTGGCAGTTCCTTGGAGAGGGTGGATCGACGAATTACCGTACACCGTAGCAATCCCACCTATGAAGGGCTATTTCACCAACTGATGGACTGTTGATGACACAACTTTTATCTGATGCAGCCAAGGCCTTCGCAACAATATATTGAAGGTAGCTGGAACATCCATAAATGGAATTCTACCTCATGTTCGGACGGGCCGATCAGGATATGGCTCTTGAATGTTCCTATGACATCCTGGCTTGTATTGTCAAAAGCTCAGATGGCTTGAGTTGTGGGTGTGAAGTCAACAGGCCTCAAACCGATGGCATAAGCAGTCCGTGCCGGACACACATTGATCGTCGATCCAGTATCTACTAACACTACCGGAATCCACTTTTTTCGGCTCTCCAGAGTTATATACAAGGACCGGTTGTGGTTGGCACCCTCAAGTGGAAGCTCTTTATCCGTGAAAGATATCACTGGTGTAACATCGCCGAATGTGACTAACGACACCAGTTGATCAGCGGTAGTGTCGATAGGCAGTTTGGTGCGATTCATTGTCTCTAGTAATGCTTGCCTATGCTCCCGGGAAGCCATTATCAATCCCCAGATTGAAATATCTGCCTGAATCTTCTTGAGCTGTTTTAAGACCAAGTTGTCTTCGTAGTCCTTCTCTCTGGTGTTATCAAGCTCTTTGTTCAAGGATTCTGGTTGGTCTACAGCCGCAGGTTTGATATACCGACCACTCCAGGTCATGTGATTGATTTTGTCCGTATACCACATATCGTCGGGGGTATTGGATTTCCACCTTCGTCCGTGTATGCATGACTCAGATCATTATCTTCCCACCACTCTCCGGCAGTCATGGCCAAGCTTTTATCAGACTTTACTTGGAGCATGTTCACATCATGCCCCTCAGCAACAAACCTTTCCTTTCCCACTATGGTTTTGGTTCTGGCAAGGCCTTCTTCCTTTGACTTTCTTCCATTCTCTCCTATTGGAATTGTTCCAGCACTTGTTCTGTACTAGTAATGGATGTGGTCTCGGCTCTTTCGTCCTTGACCCCTTTTTTCTGTTCCACCTCATCTAGCTCTTCGTCACCAAACCAACCGTTGTTTGTTTCTGGCTGACTTGAATCCAATCAGCCTATCTGGACACTGCTTGTTTCCTCTTCTTCAAAGAAGTAGAGGTTGGCTAGGTCTTCTTCTATCTGAACTAGATCCTCTCCCAGTTCGGCCAAGTTATTTCGGCCTTGTTCAGGCCAATCGTTCTGATGTTGCCCTAACTGGCCTTCCCCGATATAGCATTGACGCTGAGCACATCTGGCAATAGGACCACTGGTTTTGGTTGACCAATGGCCACAATGTATAAACTAGGATCATACTCCTCTGCAAGTGAGGCCCCATTTTCTATGCCATAGGTATTAGACAGCCCAGTCTTTGGTGTATTCTTCCCTTTCTCTGTTCTTGCTGCCACATGCTTGGGTTAGATTTGTGGGGTTAAGTCTATCATGCACATGTTCGTGCTTTCTAGAATAACCACCTCCGGTTTTGGTAGGTGGGATGAGGTAATATATGTGCTGGGGTTGAAGGTAGGTGGTAGTGTTTGGATATGGTTAATATATCTGGGGAAAGGAACTTGGTTGTGTGTAGGAAGTGGGTTGGTTGTCACATTTGGTTTAGGAGGGGCGATGACTTTGTTGTCAATGAGATTCTGAATCTCATGATGTAGACGATAGCATGAATCTATGGCCATGTTGTTGGTGGAAAGTACAATATTGGGTTAGGTCGTGCTTAGCTGGCAGTGGGTCTGGGAGAGGGCGAGGATCAAGAGGCTTGAGATGCCTCTTGTCCATCAACACCTTGAGGGCGCGTGTTGGACTCATATGGAGGGGGGTAAAAGATCTTCGGTTCCAAGGTTGACTATTTTGTGCGGTTTATGAGTTTGTGGCAGCAGAAAAGGGATCGACCATCTTGGCCAATGATGTAGCAATGGTACTGACATTTGCAGACCACGGAATAGTGCTAGTACTAACATTGGTACTCCGAGTGAATGGCTTTTTTGCAGGTTCACTTGTTCTGTGGATGATGCCCTTTTTGAAGGCGCTCTCAATTTGGACCCCTAACTCATGTAAGGAAGCAAATGTTGACAACGGTGCCACTATCATTCTCTACAACATGTCTGGCTCGAGGTTTTGGACCACTAACCTGACTTGTTCTCTTTCAGAAGGTCTGCTCGTCATTTTATCTGCCTTTGCCCTCCATCTTGCCACAAAGTCAATGAAGGGTTCTTTATGGTTTTGAGTGGTTGCTTCCAGCTCACTGATTGTTACTTCTATCTGAGTATTGTATGAGTATTGGTTAACAAACCCCTCACACAGTTCTACCCAATTCCGCTTCGTTGAGTCCTCCAGTTTGGCGTACCAGATGGCCGCTACATCTGACAGGGTCCTTCCAAATAATGAGAGTTTTTGTGCCCTAGATAAACCCATGGGCCTTAACACATCTGAATATAGGAGGACATGCATAATCGGATCCCCGCTCCCATCAAATCTGTCGATGTGAGGCATTTTGAATTTTTCTGGCAACCTTACTAAAGCCTCAGTGTACCCGTCTTCAATGTCAGGAATTGAATTGAAACCTTGGGATTTCTTCAAGGCTTTCTCAAGCCTAGCAATTTTGATCATGGCTAGATCAAATTCATTGATATCGAAGGGAATGGTTCCCGTAGGAGGTTGTACCGGAGGTCTGTAAGCTAAAGCTGTTGGAAACATCTCTTGAGGATTTAGGACCTGAGGAGTTTCCAGTAGTGGAGGGAGATCAAGATTTGGCTAGGCAGCCAGGACCGGATGTACGGTAGATGCAGATGCCTCAGATGGGCATCGCAGATCAGCGATGACTTCATCCTGTGCGGCCAACCTTTGATCCATGGTTCTCAAAGTTGCCATCATGGTAGCAATCTCTTCTGTGTTCTGTGCCATTCTTATAAGTGGGTGAGATATTGGTGAATTGCGGATACGAATAGGTGTTTGTGGAGTGTTTTGTACCGGTGCTGATGTCTATTTGTTCTTTCTTCGTCGAGTGACCGACGGGAGAGAAACTAACACTGGCTGACCGTCAACAAGATCTTACGTTTTGCAAAGCCTACGAGAACGAGTCCAAACAACTTGGGGGATATCGAGTCTTTCTGAACCTATGATGAAAAACTACCTAGCAAAAAGAAAGAAAGAAAACATTTAAAAAAAAAAAACGACCAACACTTTGGCCCCAATTCTCAATTAGTCATAATACGCAGCTGAACTGTGATCCCCACTAAACTTTGTTCTCAGACTGATTGCTCATTTGTACCACTGTTATGAACCACCTTGTATATTTCACTGTAAAAGCACATACCACATAAAAGAACCAAAACACCCCTATGAGGGGGGTAGAGTTACCCTGTCCTAGATTTTGACATGATCTAGGTTGCACTATTTCAAGCAAGTGGTTTCATAACATCCTGTACGGGTAGCATCCTGTCCTAATTTGAATGGTCACTAGAGCGTACTATATGCATTAGGTCAAATAGTCACAAAGGGTACCTCAACAAGACTACCTAATATACCTCTCACACCTAACACCGAAAAGTGAAAGGAGGATCAAGCAGTACATCGGTAATCCAGATCCAAGGGTTGTGTTCCCAACTTGACAGAGCCCATGACCGGTCAGCCTTTTGGCAAGCTTTGTAGGCAAGCCTCCGGCAAACCGTCCACGAATAACAGATGGCAAACACAGGGACTTAGGCACACCAATGCAAATGCAATGCAAAGAACATATAAATGTAGTTAAAATTCACATCATGAAATTTCAGTCAAGTTCTCTAATTCCCCAGCAGAGTCGCCAGAAACTGTAGCTTGGCTTTTCGCGCTCCCTTTCGGAAGAATGAAATAGCCCTTACAGTTCGGGCCCCACTCGTGTGTTGGTTCGGATTCTGATTTCACCAGTGTAATGTGAAACAGTGGAAACACAAAAAGAGTCCAAATCTGGCAAATTCTTTTGAAAAATTGATGTTTGAATCAAATGCCAAAAATGGATTGCTTTGCCAGATATCATAGTCGCCACCTAAATATTTATTTTTGGAAAATTTAGGAAACCCATGACTCGTGCCAAAGGCCATTAGTCCGTCATTCCCAAAGTGTCTTGGTTCGGGAACTTAGGTATGAGAGGGGAAGGCCAATAATTGAACACTGCACTCACCCGATCAAAGATCGGCCTCTACTAATCAAGATGTGGTTTTTGTGTACAATATATGCTCTTGTTCTGATTATTCAACATACAAGTATAGACTAATTTCGCAAAAAGTTGGAACGTTTGATTCCATGTTTGTTTTGAAAAAAATGTTTTGAATATGTATCACTGAAAATGGTGATCTCATATATACATGAATGAAAGTATCCCAATTCAAGTGATTAGCCTTCATCCACAGGCATTCAAACAGGTATATCAAATAAGCAGTTAGCCTCATGGTAGTATGTTTGATATGACAGCAATCACACTTATGCAATATGTTAAAGCATAAAAACTTACCTTATGTCCAAAGGCGAGTCAAAAAAAAGTAAGTAGTTAGTAAAAATGCATGATCCTAATTAATGCGATATGGCTAATGCAACACATACAACGTGCAAGTAATAAGCTCGGCTACTAACATGGCATGCGAGTCAATTCAAGGCATGTGATAGAGCATGTATTCAAGCAAAGAGTTTGAATTTGAAATTTGAATAATATGATGAGCCGAATTTTTATGCATGCAAAACGAATGGATGCAAGTCATGGAAATGCTAATTTGAAAATATGATGTCCCTAACCTAACCATCAGAAGCAGTGAAATAAAAGGGAGAAAAAATGGGGGTTGGAAGACATACAACTTAGTACATATTTGTCCTCACGAAGGAGGGTCTGAATGTCCAAATGTCCGAATAAATAATTATTACAAAACCGAATGAATAATAAATGAAAGGGGCTGTCTAATTTATTACAAGAATTGATGTAAGGCAAGCCTTCACACAATAAACTCGGTATAACGTCCGACCGAATTCAATTAATCATATTGGTTCTTTATGTCGGTTGTGATCCAATTTTAACCAATTTTATTAGCCTTTTTTTTTTATTACCTTTTCATTTATTTATCTTTTCTCCTATTTGTGCAAAAGTGATATTTACGTCCTCTAAGTCCAAAAATGCAATAAAGAGAAACAAGCATCAACTTAACCCGAGAAAATTTTCTTCGAGGGAAATTACGAAGGAAGAGTCAAACTTATTTACAAGCGATAAGGGATTCCAAGTCAAACTCAAGATGTGCAACAAGGACTAGTCAAACTCAAAAGAGTGATAATGACTTAGAAAAACCCAAACTTGAGTGATAATGACTTGAAATCCAAACTTGATAATAAGTGATAATGACATTTTCCTTGGTGATTTCCAAGGGTCAATTAGTCCTTTAAAAGTAAACACACTGATGAATAAAGAGAAATGAAAAATAAAAGATTGTGCTTTAGTGTAAGAACATGTATACATTTGAGGTAATGAACCTCCAAAGAATTTAAATCGTTAAGTATAGAACGTTTTATGCTTTTGGTAGTAAATCCCCTAAGAGATTAAATCAGTAAGGATAGAACGTTGTATACTTTTGGTAATGAACCTCTTAAGCATAAAACGTTTTATGCCTTTGGTAGTAAATCTCCAAAGAGATTAAACCATTAAGCATAGAAGAGTTCATTTCTTATACTTGAACCACAATCTTAATATTGCAGAACTTTTTAATTGAAATAAGCAAAGAATGGAGGGAGGTTGCAGAGATGATTATGCGAAGTTGATTAATTAGTTAGTACAAACAAACTTGATATTTAAAACATAAATAGTTGAAATAAATTAAACAGCCTCCTAAATAGCATACGATAGTGTTGAAATTAGAAATCTACCACTTTTACTATTCACCGCCGGAGGTACTATTCATCGTCGGGGTTACTATTCCCCGCCGGCAATCGGGCCTACTTTTGCTTCACAACGTTCACCAAAGCACAAGCAGAGGATGTAAGAGCACCTGACTCACCTATGCCCCTATTTTTTGCTTTGACCTTCTTTTCAAGTTTTAAGCATGTAATAAAAGAACTTTGATTTGTATCGAAGAGTTGGAGAACTTTATGTTAAATATCATGGAATTAAAGTTGTGAGACTAAAATTTTCCTTTTGGTCCAAAAATGGTCTAAGTTGTAAAAGGTAAATTTTGAACAAAATCAACTTTTATTAAAAATTTCCAAAACCATTTCGAAAAGGATCACCACCTGACATGCACGAAATTAATCCTCAAGATGCACAACCCAAATCAAAAGATAAAAAACTGCCCCTTGATTGAATACCACTATTGCTCAGCATTGTAACCAGCTTTTTTCCTTAGAGTAAAGATCACAACCGAGACTCTCAATAATGGACAGACAAATATGACCTATCAGTCACAGGACAGGATAGTTGAGTTGGAGGTGATTACGGCCGAACTTCAGGATGAAGTTGCCTACGTATCCCGAAGATGGGAATCAAGCCTACGTAGTTCAGTTCAGGTTCACTCGAGTATTAACTCTCTCCTTTTGCACTCTAACTTTTGCCAAAGTCGCCCTTTAGGGTTTTTAACTTTTTGAGCTCAATTTTTCTTTATTTCTAATTTTTAATGCTCTAACTTTTACCTAGGTCACTTTTTGGGTTTCTGGCCTAGCGAGCCTATCAGGTGATAGTATTTCTTCAACTTGTCCACGTTGATCGGTTGTGAAAATTCCAGACCATCTAAGTCCATAGAAATAATAGCTCCACCCCGACCAGATTGCTTTGATGATGTAAGTGGCAAGTTCAATTGGGTTTGCAACTTGCCCCTAGGGTCATGAATGAGAGCTCGGTTGTCTTTCAACACTATGTCCCCTCCTTGAGATTACAAGACTTAAGCTTGTTTGTTAAAAGCCATTGGCAATTCTGCGCTGGATACCCTGAATGTGATACATGCCTTTAGTCTTGCCTCATCAAAATAGCATCAACTTTTCAAAATCGTTCGTTGCCAGTCCACCTCTGCTATCTGACATTAGCATAACTCATAGCAACGGAACTTCTATTTCAATTGGCAAAACGGCTTCCATTCCCGTTGTAACACCCCATTTTTGACCGTCCTCAAGAACTTCGGACGTCATCTTGCGCTTGGAACACTCGGTGATATATCGCATGTTTGTGTTCGTTTGGAGTTCCCGGATCTCCGCTCGCACGCCTTGCCTTAGGATCTCGAACTCGACTGTTTATGTCTGGTTTGTTGCACCAACACTGTATTTTGCCTTGGAGGGGCAGGATGCCTTGGAGGCATCCCCACACATTCACCGGCAGTGGCTAGAGGTCACGGCTGGTTTTTGGCTGCATTGGCACTGTTTTGTTGCGGTCGGCAGTTGTTGCGTCGGCACTCCAATTTTTCAAAATGACAATTTTGCCGTCCGGAGCTATGGGCATCTGCTTTTCAGATATTTAAGACAGCTGTCTTTGCTTTTTGCTCCCCTCCATACACGTTGTATGGAGGGATCTCCCCCCCACCCCTCTGTTAGAAGCTTGTCTTGTAAAGCTTACAAGACAAAAGCCTCTATAAAGAGAAGCCTTGTCTCTTGGCTTTAGGGTTACGAGAACTTGAACATTTTAGAGACAGAAAAACCAGAGAAGAAGCTCCTGGTTTTAGGTTAGGATCTCTCTCTT